TAACTCTGGCTTATGAAATGAAGTGACTAAGGTCTCAAAACACATTAAGCCATAAGACTTAGTTTATAAACCAAATGGCAGAGTTCAAAGTGAAATAAACACATTGTGGCTTGGCTTGGCTTACACACCAAGAATTAATGAGTTAAGGGTAGGACACATGCTTTTCATGCAAATAATTTCACAGAGAACCTTGGAATTACCAGAGAAAGTTGAGAAAGATGCCCACCCCAAACCTTGAATACCTGCTGCCAATCACAGTCAAGACAGACCAATTCAAATACATTGCATCGACATGATAGCAATATTTAAGGAGTTGCCACAAAGAAGAGGGGGTCAAACTATTATCCAAAGCACCTGAAAGCAGGACAAGAAGCAATGGGTGGAAACTGATGAAGGAGAGAAGCAACCTAGAACTAAGGAGAAATTTCTTGACAGTGAGAACAATGAATCAGTGGAACAGCTTTCCTTGGAAATTGTGGTGTTCCATCAGTAGAGGATTTTAAGAAAGAGATTGGGTAGCCATTTGTCTGCAATGGTATAGGGCAGTGGTCCCCAAACTTTTTTGTACCACAGCCTGGTACAAAATGATCCACGGACCGGTACCGGCATCAGCACGCACAACCAAGGCAAGGCGAGCCGAGCGACCGGCCAGCCAGCCGTCCCCCGCTTCTCCCCACCACCTTCAACTCCTCCTTTGTACCTTCTAGTGGTTGATGGGCTTTTCAGGCTTTTCTTAATCTCCTCCTGAGTAACGCAAGACTCCACCGCCATCGGGACGGCTCTTCATTCAAAGCCGCCCCCCCCACTTTGATGAAACTAAGGCGCGAGGATTCCTTCAGCACCCAAACGCCGCTTTCCAACTGATGACCGACAAGCTCACCCGGAAGCACTTTCTCAAGCGCCATCGAAACAAGCAAAATAGGTGGCCCGCTACAAAATGATCCATGGACCGGTACCAGTCCGGGGCCCGGTGGTTGGGGACCACTGGTATAGGGTTTCCTGCTTGAACAAAGGTTTGGCCAGAAGAGCTCCAAGATTCCTTCCAACTCTGTTTTTCTATTAAATGCAGTCATTTATGTCCCTAAGATTTTGTTGTACGAACACCAAGGGTGGATTATCCTTAATACTACTGGAAATAGCGCTTAAATTAGACGCAAAAAGAATTTTATGTTTTTATTTTATTTTTATTTATTTAATTGATTTGTCAATTGCTTACAAGATAATAGGTATAAGTATAAACATAAGTAAGAATACAGGAAATAGGTACAAATAAATGGGGACAAAAGGAGAGGGACGGTAAGCACAATTGTGCACTTATGCACGCCCCTTACAGACCTCTTAGGAATGGGGTGAGGTCAATAGTGGATAGTTTGAGGTTAAAGGAGTGAGGGTTAGAGGATGTAGCTACAGAGTCAGGTAGTGCATTCCAGGCATTGACCATTCAATTCATTCAATTCAATTCAATTGACATTGAATTTTATGTCTTCAATGTTTTCCCCCCTCAAATTCCCAGATGCTACTGAAAATAAAAAGCATGTAAATCCCACAGACACTTTGCATCCAATATATCTATAGACCAAGGGTCTTCAAATTTGGCAAGCTTAAGACTTGTGGACTTCAATTCCCAGAATTCCTGAGCTAACATGACTGGAGAAAGAATTCTGGGAGTTGAAGTCCACAAGTCTTAAAGCTGTTAAGTTTAAAGATCCCTGCTATAGACACTTCCACTCTTGGAGGCCTGCTGGAACATTCACATTTGATGCTGCATCTTTCACTACTTCAGCAATCTTTTTGCTTCAGACATCCCATTGGACCATAGGATTCATTGGTGATTGACTGGTATCAGTAAATAGGAACTGAAAGAATCAAGCCTCTCACCCTTAGTATTGCAAAGTGGCAGCGCATACAGGGAGCTGAGCTGCCAAAAGTGCCCCTCACAGGCTACTGGTATCCCTGACCTATTCTTGTACTTGACTGCTTTCTTCATAGTACTAATACAGTTGCCTTTTGCTTCCTCCTTCACTATTATTTCATTGCCTTTGCTACTTTCATTCTCTTTTTCGGTGGCAAAGGTGTTTCATTGAGCTGTCCTTTCTCAATTAACCTTGCCTCTTGCTTCAGGAGCTTGTCTAATCTCAGACACAATGAAAGCCACATCAACAATTAAAGACAAAAATAAGATATCCAATTGCCAAGGCAGGCAGACTAAAGGATAAACGGAAGGTAAATGGAGGCCAAAGTGACTTGACCAAGATGACATGGGTGCCCCTAGCAAAATAGCATCAAGGATACGTGTCTTCTGAGACAAAGTTTTGCATGTCCCAATATGGGATATGATTAATGCTGCCAAGTTATTAAAGCTGCATGTAGCTGGAGATGCAGGTGGAGAGAGGGAAAGAAAGCAATATTTCAAATTCTAATGCATCGGAAAGGCCTGTTATATTTAATATCTCTACTGGAGCCAGTTTGATGAAGTGATTAAAGGAGCTGAGTTAGAAGTTGCCCAGGAAGCCAAGAGTTCTGGTCCTGGTTTAAGTATCAGAGCCAGCTGGGTGACCTTGAGCTTCCAACTCCCCCTCAGCCCTAGGAAGAAGAAGGGCAATGGCAAACCACTTCTGAAAACGGCAGCTTCCAGAAGTCAAGATGGATTTGAAGGCACACAAAACAAAACCCTGAAGATATCATGGATGCATCAAGAGCAAAAGTCTATAGAGATTATTAAGTGTTGTACCTTATGATTCTTGACTCTTGATGAATGTATCTTTTCTTTTACGTATACGGAGAGCGTTTGCACCAAGACAAATTCCTTGTGTGTCCAATCACATTTGGCCAATAAAGAATTCTATTCTATTCTATTCTATTCTATTCTATTCTATTCTATAGAGATTCTCAGTCATCCAGGTCCATGGTTGTCCCAAAGGTGCTTTTTCAGGAGACAACTGGACTTTCTGGTTTTTTCTTTGAAGACATTTTGCTTCTCATCCAAGAAGCTTCTTCAGCTCTGACAGAATGGTAGGGAATGGAAGGATTTATATCCCTTGCAGACAGCTGGTAATTTGCATCCTTTTAGAGGACTGTTGAAGCACTTGGAGGTTTTCCTGTGTCCTTAGGGCCACCTGAGTACTACAAGAACCAGGAGCACTACTCCGGTGACCCAGAGGATACAGATAAACCTCCAAGCGCTTCAATGTTTTTCCTCATAATATCTAGCTTATAATCTTTCCAAAGTATCAGGCAAGTTTGTTTATATACCCAGTTCTCTCCTTAACAAGTCAGTAGCTTTCTCAGAAGTTGATGCCATTCTGCACCCCGCAGAGATCCTCAGATATCACAAGACCAAAAAGCTGTCTTTATGTTGAATGACTAAATGTAGACTACCTTAGCAATAGATACCAGATGTATTTTAGTAGGTGGTCTAAATGCATTTTCCCAGCCTAATCACTTTACTGGCTCCTATTCAGTTTGCAATCACTACTTTACCAGGAAATTTCACACAAATAATATTTGCAGGCTGATTACCCCAATTCTTACAAAAGCCGGAGCATTTGCTTGCGTTTGCTATGTGAACAATTTTACACTTGTCCGTCTTGCATTACATTCTGTTATTTTCAGACCATTTCTCCCATCTATCAAGATCATTTCAAATGTTCTTTCTTTCATTTTGGATATTAGCAAATCGTCCGATTTTAAGTCATCTAGAGATTCATTCGTGACAAATAATATGTTGCCTTCTGGTACTTACAGCATTGTTTTTAAGGTGTTTGCAGATCAATCTTCCTTTAGAATCTTATCCATATTTTTCTGCTTTTTGATAAAAGAGATATTTATTATTCTCCAATTGTGTGTTATTTCATAAATTTCACAAGATTTTTCAAAAAGGTTATATAAGTCCATCAGGTAGCATGTATTAGCATTAAGTAGCTGTTATTTAAGTCATTTTCTTCATTTTTAATTTTGTACATACCCAAAATCTTTTCCTTTAATTCTTTGGTAGCTGGGCAGTTCATTATGAGATTTCATTTGCTTAAAGCAAATTATGTGAAGCTAACTTTTTTATTTGAAATCTTCTTTTATGATCTATCTTCCCCATGTCCTGTATGTGGTTTTTTCTGTTGTTGTTAGTTTATTTGTTTCAAATCCTTACTAAGCTTTTTTGGGGAGGGGGAGACAGGAGGGTAGCCATGTTGGTTTATTTTGCTTTCTTTATTCATGTCAGAAGAACCTTCAACCTATAAACATATAACATTCAACACTGAGCAAGTGAAAAAAGTATAAAATAGGTCATAGAAATACAGCATGTATAAAAAGGTTTTTAAAAACTGTGCAAAAGTTTTCTTCCTCTGACCTCCATTTCTTTCCTCTATCAGAATGGTTGCAATTGTTGTGCTTTTAGTATCTCCGTTTTCCATTCTCCTGGATACCTACTTACCATTGTCTGAGGATATCATAATAAACATTTGGAAGTCCAAGGCGTAATGGAAATACAGCCCTCATTGGATGAATCAACCCATCCCATTAAGTCAGGGTTGTCAAACTTGCGGCCCACGAGCTGGATGCATCACACACTGGCCACGCCCACGCCTGGTTTAGCGAAGGGGGGGGGGGAAGTTGCAATACGTGACGCTGCCATGACAATGCGAGTTTGACACCTCTTAAGTCATAGCACTGGAGAATGCAACCTAACATTACTGCTCTAAAAAAAAAATCACAGAATAGTGACTTTTCTTTCTCTTTCTTAAGCAAAGGGAGAAGTTTTGTGAAATGTCCTGATATTTGAATCACTCCAGGAATAGAGTGAATTGTTACGGGGAAGAGGTGTGTGTGTGTGTGTGTGTGTTACTTTTTTGCAATAGAGGAAAAAATTAAAAATTGTAAAAAAAAAACCAATTGGTCTCCTTTGGTCTTCTTGAGCAGGAGGTTGGACTAGCCCTATTATTCTATATTCTAACTTGGATGTTCTGATTGGTTTTCTTTTTTCTAATTATTCTTTCTGTCCACAGTGCCAAAGACAGCTCCCGGTAACGTAAGTGGCAGAAGTGGAAGGCGGCATGAATTAGTAATAGCCTGGGAGGTAACAAACTCTTTTAAATTCTTTGTTTCATGTTGACTTCTTTGAGGGCAAGTTAGACATCGTAGGTCAACACTGAAGTTTGCACATAGTAAAGCTTGTCAATGTAAGTACACAGAAGAACATGTATTAAATGTCAGTTAAAATGTCCCTTCAGGTCTTAATTTAATGTATTAAAAAAATCCCATAGTAGTTGAGTGTATCTGATGTTTGCAATGTTCCCATTTTAAATCTATTATTATTTCCATTCTGTTGAGAACTTAATCTGTACTTGAGATCATTATGGACCATACTCAGTTCCACATATTTAATAATGGATCTGGGATATTTAAAATATTCAGCTGTCCAATAATATGTTCAGACAACTTGAGGTAGTTCTCAAGTTACAAACACAATTGAACCCAAAATTTCTGATGCTAAGGCAGTTGTTAAATGAGATTTGCCCCCATTTTATGACCTTTTTGGCCACAGTTGTTAAATGAATCTGGCTCTCCATTGACTTGTCCAATGGTTGCAAAAGATGATCACATGACCCGGGGTGGGATTCAAAAAATTTAACAACCGGTTCTGTGGGCATGGCTTAAGTGGTAGACATGGCTTGGTGGTCATGTGACTGGGTGGACATGGCTTGGTGGTCATGTTATTGGCTGGGTGTGGCCAACTCAATATCACTCACATCGAGGCATGTATCTCCTCCCCTGGCCTCTCATGACTGTGGGGATGCTGCAACAGTCATAAGTGTGAAAAAAGGTCATAAGTCACTTTTTCAGTGCCATTGTAACTTTGAATGGTCACTCCACACAAGCAAAGTACCAGCAAAGGAGAGGAAAAACTCCAGAGATGTTCCTGAGACAGGAAGTCTAGTCCTGCCAAGAATGTAATAAGGGTTAATGGAGAGGCAGTTTCTGTAAGCAACACCAGAATGTTTCCCTCCTGCCTTCCTTACAGGATTCGTCCAGAAATTTCTTCTAACAACAGGTTCTCCAAACTGCTTAGAATGTTAACTGGCTCTAGCGAATAGGTGCGAACTGGTAGAATCCCACGCCTGACATGACCCCAGGACATTGCAACTGTCATAAATACATGCCAGTTGCCAAGTATCTGAATTGTGATGGCATGGCCATGGGGATGCTGCAATAGTCACATGTGTGAAAATGGTGATGTCACTATTTTCAGTGCTGAATGGCCACTAAACAAATGGCTATAAGTCAAGGACTACCTGTAGTGTCTTATTCTTGGCCACTATCTGTGAGTAATAAAAATTATTGTGTCTTAGTAACTCAATTTACTAAGTAATGCTGCATAAGAAGAACATAGCAATTGATTTTATTAACACTAGCTCCAGATGGAGTTAAGCAATAGCTGTTATGACACGTTGCCTAGGCAGATGCAGACTTCAATAAAGTCTTTTTATTGATTTGCTATCCCATAACAAGTGGACCTACAGTGGCCCGCTAAAACATCCCAAACATTCCTGTAGGCCAGAGGTCACCAACTAGTGGGCCGAGGACCTTTGGTCGTCCGCGAGAAAAATTCGGTGGTCCACAGAGAAATGTCACCCCCAAAGCACCCCCCCAAAGCAATTAATCCAGGCTGTGTGGGAACACAAGGCTGCACCACCGACATGGCCCATGAGAACACATGGCTTGCGTCACTTGCATTGCGAACAACACAAGGTAGTGAGGGGAGGGGGGAAAGGACGGAGTGGGGAACTTGCCCCACTCGCCCCATGCATTTCCACTTCTTTCTTCTTCTGCTTTTGGCTGCACGCAAGGAAAGCAGCAAAAATCTTTCTCTCCCCTAAACTCCACCAGAAATGAGTCTTTGGGACCCTGCAAGCCATCCTGCTCCAAGAGGCTGCGCCAGTGCGACAAGTCTCACAAAGACTCATTTCTGGCAGAGTTTGGGGGAGAGAAAGAAAGACTTCTGCTGCTTCTGCTGCTTTCCTTGCATGAAACCAAAAGTCTCTCTCTCTCTCTCTCTCTCTCCTTCTCTCCCTGAGAATGGAGCTGGAGACGGCATCCTGCGATCCCAAATAAAGAATGATCGATCGGTAGGAAAATGGGGTGGGAAATTTTCCTGCAGACTTTTTTGGAGATTTTCCCAGGGTCTCTGGTCCACGGGATTTAAAATTATGAGTATGGTGGTCCCTGAGGTCCAAAAGGTTGGTGACCCCTGCTGTAGGCAGCCACCCATAGTCAATGCAACACAGTCCGTTGGATGGTCCCAGACCCAATTGTTCCTCCGCTTGGGCGGGGGGTTGGACTACATGGACCTACAAGGTCCCTTCCAACTCTGATTATCTATATCTGTATCCTCCTTCAAACTGGGATCCAATGGGGCCACAACAATGGTTCAGAAGTCAATGAGAAGGACCAGAGGGTAATATGTCATAATACACAACACAAACTCCACCTCTTATGTATGCAGCAACAGACACAACATGGTGGGAGTTAGTTTATTATTTTTCATCATTTGATCGATTTGGATAAAAATTGGTAGCCATTAGATACTCTCCAAAGTTTATAGAAGAAACTGCCACTTTAAGTTCCAGTAATAGTACATCATGCATTACAGACACTATGAGAAATTAAGAGAGTGGCTCCTAGACTTAGAGATAAAAGAGAACAAGAAAAAAGGAAAAAAAAAACATGTCAGAAAAGCAATGCAGAGGGTTCATATAAGGACTAATTTAAAGACCCAAAGTAAGGAGATAATTAACTCTTTTTATAATCTTAAAAGAAGGACCAATGGCATTTTCAAGGTTACTCTGGATCTATTCCACCTTTTAAGTTTCGGGTTTTTTTTATCTAGGATTAAAATACTGATGACATTTCCTTTTAAGTTAATAAGAACATTCTTGCTTTCTTTTCTTTTCCTTTCCTTTGTTTTTTTCCCTTTAAGACAGTTACACTGTGAATGTAAAAAGAGCCATTAATTTAACCTGCCAATTATTTAGATTACTTGAGATTGGCTCTGTTTGGTTTAATGCTGTTTTTTAAAAATGTTGTTTATTGTTACTTATATGGTAAAAATCACTTATTAGAAGTTCAAGTGATGTCAAATAGACATTTATTTAAGCTAACATTCAGCTCATTAATTTTAATGGAATTTATTTACATTGATTCAGTAGGAATGCTTTCTATGAATTCTATAACCAGTTTACAAAGAAGACTATAAAATTATATTAAATAAATGCATTCACATAGTGCATTCAAATACATTCTAGTTTGTATTTTGACACATATAATGTCATTTTATTAAAATCTTGCAACATCTTCTATATTTTTGAGGTTTCCAGCTGGCAAATGTAAAAGAGATTTGACAGCTAAGGAGTCACGTGATTTTGTTTCTTCCTTCCTTCCTTCCTTCCTTTTTCTTTCTCTTAATTTCCACTCTCTTTCTTTCTTTCCTCTCTATCTATCTCTTTCTTTCTTTCTCTTTTTTCTTATTTTCTGCTAAAAGCCTGGCTACTCTCACAGAGAGTGGCTTTTGAATTACGGTTTAATAGATAACTTTTTAAAAAAACACTCAGAAAACCTTTAATAATCTCATGGCTGAAATCAGGTAATGTCATGAGACTATATCTATGTCTAATCTTTATCTATCTATCTATCTATCTATCTATCTATCTATCTATCTATCTATTATCTACAGTATTATCTATTGTCTCATACAATACACACCCCATATACACACATACTAAGCAAATGCTGTATCATTAAGTCATATCTCAATGAAATATTGGCCAACTTTTTTCCAACCTTGTGCTTTAAAGAAACTAACTAGGCACAACAGACACTGTGTTTCACGAGTAAATTGTTGGAAAACCCCAGGGTGGAAAAGAAGGTTTCTTCTCAATGGGATAACAATGCAAAAGAAATAAGAAGGGTTTGTGCCTAAACTACCATCCACAGCCTATGAGCCACATGTTGATATTTCAACACTTCCAGATCATGCAATCAAAATTGTTATTTTGGCTGCTTTGGGAGAGTTGTAAGAGTGTAGATGGAAATGAATTAATTCTTGGAGGCCTCCCATTTTATCCCTCTCTCACAAACTCTCAAAGAACAGATAAAATCCTTCCAGTGATGTCATATCATTATCACCATAACAAAGTTGGAGTCCAAGTAGGTGGCCTCAAACGTTCAATTATCCACTGTTCCCTAGACATTCTTGGTTGGTTGCACAGTCAGTCAGATGTTTAGACTGGAATTTGTCTCCACTCTGCCCCAATCTACAGTTTGCTGTAGGAGGGAAGTTTCCTTTGACATGAAAAATGTTACATCTACATTGATCTCATGTAGGTCTTGCAAATGGTAGTAGGAATATAATGTTTATCAAGAAAGCCCTTGAGAGTTACCTTGGAATTATGCTGCCTACTGGCAAGAACCTTGTAACTTGTGTGATATATATCCTGGAATCACATTTTGAAATGTCAGGCAATAATTATACATATGCCAGGAATTATTTAATTTTTTTTAATGAGCCTTCCAAGAAGTCCTGTTGTTGCTCAAAAAATAAAAAAGGCAAAATTCTAATTACTAGGTAAACATTGGACATTTTAATAGGAACTAAATAAGGGAGAAAAGGAAGGATCTTCTAACAAAAAAAATTGCCCTATCGTTGTGACATTTTCACTGCTAGGTTCATATAAAATTCTGTATAATCCTGTTATTTTCCTGCTTAAAGTGACATTTTAAGGTTATTCAAAAAGGCTTAATGCAGAAACAGAATGTAGCAATGAGAAAATGTTTAAACCATTGGGTAAACGTGCAGGATGGCACCCAGAAGCCAAATTAAGTTGCTCATCTCTTTGATGAAGAGAAGGAGGAGGAGGAAGAGGAAGAAGGGTAACAGTAAAAAAGAGGAGGAGGGAGGAGGGAGGAGGGAGGAGGGAGGAGAAGGAGAAGAAGAAGAAGAAGAAGAAGAAGAAGAAGAAGAAGAAGAAGAAGAAGAAGAAGAAGAAGAAGAAGAAGAAGAAGAAGAA